ACGTTGGTGTATATGGTACCAAGAAAAATTGCTTGTGTTTTCAAGATCTACACGTCGTGTAAAGGAAAACCCCAACTTTGCGGACACCCTGTATTGAAGTTGTTTTCAAAGATTTCTCGGAAGGATTCATAGGAAATCTTGTTTTCAACATTGCCAATAGAATACATTTTGTGTAATTTTGCGGTATTTAGATTTTCAGGTAGGTAAAGTTTTTGCGAATCCGCCAAAGAATAATGAGATTCGCGGCATTTGAGGCTCTTAATAAACTCGGTCACTTTCTGTTTTGTGTTTTCTGAAAGTTTGTGAAGTCGTGCGTTGTGTTTTCCACGCATGTCGATGGACGATTTCCCAGTTGCAACTAATGAGTCTCTTATGTACCGAACTCGATGAACTGTGATTCCGTGTAAAGACAAAAAGCCTGGCGCGCAACGTTTTCATTACGTCTCTTTGTCTTCCTGTTTTGTTTTGCGTTTCTTCGTTTCCCTGTTTGATGGGCCTGGTTCATTTCACTTGAAACAGATCCATTATACACAATACCCGTATTATAAACTAAATTAGCGAATATAGTCAATATTAACAATAGTAAACTAATGGCTGTTGCAATAACGAAGCGCCCAAGCTGATTAAAAGATACGATCAGGAAAATGCCACCAAAATAAACCGAAAGCTCAATTTAGACAAATAACGGACTAATGCCGTTTTTCCCCGGTACCCTTCAGATATTGTAATGCTTTCTCTAATAACTTCCTTCAGTTCCTTGTTTTCTGGGCGTTCAAATACTTTTGAACGTTAATGTATACCTGCGTCCAACAAAAGAAAAATCTAGGTATACCAATATTCTAATGTCAATACCCAAACTTCATTTCAGTCTGTGTCGTATTCTGGCAGCTCAAAAGCGGTCTCCTTGTGGACAAAATAACCACAAAAACAATACCCTTTGTCTGAACATTCGGTCTATTTAAGGACATCTACTTCTGGGAAGTCGAATCGCTCCCCACAAGACTCGCAATCGTTTTGATCAAAGTATACAGACCACCAGAAGTAAGATCACTTGAGGAAAAACCTATCATGATTGGTCACAATTTATTTTCTGGCTGTTTTCGACGTTTTGATTGGACGTTGAAAAGGAGGTGGTCAAGGTCATGGTGATGGTATTCTCCATACTTGAATGAATTGAATTTCAACTAAGCCTACTAGTTTCTCATTTTGGCTGAGCTGAACAATTTATTTTATTAAAAAAAAAATTTAATATCCTGGTGCTTGAAAGTGAATGTTTTCAATGAACCGTGAATAAAAGTGAAATGGATCGAAAAAAGTGACTCGCCAGCATCTCTGTCTTTTCGATTGAAACGATTCCAGTTAAGGACGATTCTGCAAACGGCGCGGGACGTAAAACTGATTTGACCGTTTATTAACCCAATGATCCGTATACTTTGTCTCTGATGGTATCGGTTTCATAACTGTGTACTGACCGCAATATTCCGATTGGTCATATTGTTTCGTTTTATTGTCCATACCAAAAGTGATTAAGCGCAGCATAGCCAGAATAGGAAAACAATGTTTCTTTTATTATGCTTTTATTACGTCAAGTATCATCCTGCGTCTTGGTCGGTGTTACTAGACAATATGTAATTACGTTTTGAATTGTGGGTGCCTTTACAGTTTGTATTTTTATAAACATCGCAAAGGTTGCGACCGGAGATATGACTCTTCAAAATGTTCATAATAACGGTAAAAGCTCCTATCTCTAATGCATAAACATTCAGAACACACAATCGTAAAAAACGTTTAAAACAGTTTTCAAAAATGGTAGTAGTCTGGCAACTTGGTCACCCCTGAATATACCAACTGTAATACTTCAAATGCGTATCTACTGGTCACTATTAAATAAACCAACTACAACGATACGATGTACATACATACAAAGTATCCAAAAAATATGGATACATCAAAATATCTGGAAAATACCTTTTGTATTGAAAAATGTGTGGTCAAATTTTTTTGAAAAGGTCCATCTGACGGTGACCTTGACTATAACCACATGACATGTCAGGATCGTTTCCTTAACGGAAACCGGTATTTTTGACACAGGAAATGTAAAGAGCAAACTTTACGTTCAAGCGAGTCCTTGTTAGAGACCTCAAGGTCATTTGAGCGTCCAAAAGGTATGCAGAAAACGAAATATGTCAAAAAATATGCTACCTAGAGAAAAAACTTACACAGCAAAGTTGGCTGATGGAGACCTTGATGTGACCTTGGCTACGACCTTCCAGGTTTATACTTGAACGTAAAATTATCAGGTTTCCCGTATAAAAATCATTAAACTTCAAATAACCTTGAAAATCGTGGTCAAGGTGACGGTAAAGTACATGATAGTGATGATCGTAAAATGTTTTGCTTTTTTATATCCCAGACAAAAAAAGCTTACTTACAATTTATCTTCAACGACCTTGAAGGTCATGGTTGATTGAGAAGTTGACTTTGAATGTGACCTTGGCCCCGCCTTATAAGTTTTATACTTGAACGTAAAATCCTCAGGTTTCCCGTAAAAAAATCATCAAAACTTCAAATGACCTTGAAAATCGTAGACAAGGTGACGGTCACGTACATGCTAGTGATAAGCGTAGAATGTTTTGCTTTTTTATATCCCAGACGAAAAGAAATTTACCTAAAATTTATCTTCAAATGACCCTGAAGGTCTTGAAGAGGTCATTGGCAAGGATATACTTGAATTTGAGCTAAAAATAGATGTGGTGACCTTGAATTTGACGTTGACCATGACCATCAAGGTCATCTGAAGGTCAAGTTGATCTTTTAAAATGGAACCCCTCATTTACGACCCCGGAAAATTTTATGTGCAAATATTCTTGAATTTAGACCTTAGGAAGCCATGGTCAAGGTCAAACCCAGGTACAGTGATATCACTTGAAAGCAGTATAGGGCAACTACCGAGACCTTATTGATGACCTTGGATGTGACCTTGGCTACGACCTTCCAGGTATTATACTTGAACGTAAAATTATCAGGTTTGCCATATAAAAAATCATTAAACTTCAAATAACCTTGAAAATCGTGGTCAAGGTGACGGTCCAGTACATGATAGTGGATGATCGTAAAATGCTATGCTTTTTTATATCCCCAGACAAAAAGCTTCCTTAAAATTCCATCTTCAAATGACCTTGAAAGTCATGATTGATTGGCAATATGACCTTGAATGTGACCTTGGCCACGACCTTATAGGTTTTATACATAACGTAAAATCATCAGGTTTCCGTAAAAAAATCATCAAAACTTCAATGACCTTGAAAATCGTAGTCAAGGTGACGGTCACGTACATGCTAGTGATAAGCGTAGAATGTTTTGCTTTTTTATATCCCAGACGAAAAGAAATTTACCTGAAATTTATCTTCAAATGACCCTGAAGGTCTTGAAGAGGTTCATTGGCAAGGATATACTTGAATTTGAGCTAAAATAGATGTGGTGACCTTGAATTTGACGTTGACCATGACCATCAAGGTCATCTGAAGGTCAAGTTGATCTTTTAAAATGGAACCCCTCATTTACGACCCTGGAAAATTTTATGTGCAAATATTCTTGAATTTAGACCTTAGGAAGCCATGGTCAAGGTCAAACCCAGGTACAGTGATATCACTTGAAAGCCAGTATAGGGCAACTACCGAGACCTTATTGATGACCTTGGATGTGACCTTGACTACGACCTTCCAGGTTTTATACTTGTACGTAAAATTATCAGGTTTCCCGTAAAAAAATCATTAACACTTCAAATGACCTCGAAAATCGAGGTCAAGGTGACAATCAAGTACATGATAGTGATGATCGTAAATGTTTTGCTTTTTTATATCCCAGACAAAAAAAGCTTACTTACAATTTTATCTTCAAATGACCTTGAAGGTCATGGTTGATTGAGAAGTTGACTTTGAATGTGACCTTGGCCCCGACCTTATAAGTTTTATACTTGGACGTAAAATCATCAGGTTTCCCGTAAAAAATTCATCAAAACTTCAAATTACCTTGAAAATCGTAGTCAAAGTGACGGTCAAGTACATGATAGTGATTATCGTAAATGCTTTGATTTTTTATATCCCAGACAAAAAGAAATTTACCTAAAATTTATCTTCAAATGACCCTGAAGGTCTTGTTGAGGTTCATTGGCAAGGATATACTTAAATTTGAGCTAAAAACAGATGTAATGACCTTGAATTTGACGTTGACTATGACCATCAAGGTCATCTGAGGGTCAAGTTGATCTTTTAAAATGGAACCCCTCATTTACGACCCTGGAAAATTTTATGCGCAAAAAATCTTGAATTTAGACCTTAGGAAGCCATGGTCAAGGTCAAACCCAGGTACAGTGATATCACTTGAAAGCCAGTATAAGGGCAACTACCGAGATATTATTACCATGATTTTTCCCAGATATCCAATTATGACTTTGGATCTGACCTTGGCCATGACTCAAGATCATTTGAAGGTCAACTCTTTTTTAATGGTACCATAATATACTTTTGACTGCGAAATTGGATAAAAGGGAATATTTCATGTTCGAATATGTCGTTGACCACATTTTGACCTTGACCTTGGACTTGACCATCGAGATCAAACGCAAGTTTACCTTGGTTTGTAGATAATTCAGATAAACTGACTTCACTGTTCTTTCAAAATTGTTGCCTGACTTGATCTTCGCATGACCTTGAAGGTCATATAGTTAAGGTCGGCTCCGAGGTCACCACTGGATAACCGATGGAAAATCATGGAAATAATGTCTCGATAGTCTCCCTATACGATTACTGGTTTTCAATGTATATCACCGAACCTTGGTTTGACCTTGACCATGACCAGAAGGTCAAAATTTAAGAATGGAAAGGTGGAACGTAAATTTGCCCGCTCTTTACATTGACGGGGTAAAAAATCGACTTGTAATTTAAATGACCCTGAAGGTTAAGGTCCAGGTCAGATCAAAGGGGAAAACTCCTATCAAGCACAGCTCTTAGTTTTTTCATACGATGCTCCGAAACTTTTCAGACAGCATAAAACTTTAGATACTAACCTGCAAGAATTTCCCCGCGTTTTTCCTCCCGGTAGGCGTCCTCGAGGCGATCCCGTGCGACGAATGCAGATAGCTGCCCAACGGCCTCTGCCCGTAGCACTGACACTGCCCCCACTTTTTCCCCACCGTCATCTGTCACTTCTCCCCCCTCCCTAACCGTCCGTCTGTCGCTTTTACCGCCGTCGCGTTCACTTCTCCCTGCTGTTCCAGAACGCGGTGCAGGAATTCGCTTCTGGACGCGTGCAGGTACGTCGTGTTCTTGGAAAGGTTCAACTGACTGGCGCTGATGACCAGTTCGGCGTCGGGGAGGTTCGACAACATCTTCTGGACGTTCGTCGAGATTATGTCCAGGCTTTTCGTTGCTCCTGTTCAGCGGGCTCTGCTTCTCCGGGGAGCGGAATGATCTGGAAGAGGGGAAACGTCCGTAAACACATTCAGTTCGATTAGCATGAAAGAATAAATTTGACCACCCTGTACATACCTGTAGGTAGGCCGATACGTAGACCTGCGTATCGTACTCGAATTCAATGTCTCTTCCGAGCTGAACTTCTTCGAGATCTCCTGCTCAGGAACGTTCGAGAGGATCTTCTGGACGCAAGGCGATAGATTAGCGAAGTTCCCCACTTGGTGGCTGCGTTTCGGAGTGCTCGTCCTTATTTGATCGCCTTCAGTACAGTTCCGTTCTTTCTGGCTGCCTCCGATGATTGCGTCGAATGCGCCCATAATACTGGGCATCAGCTCCAGGGACGATCCTGGAACAAGCAAAAGAAATATTCCAGGATATCTTTTTAACGTTTTGCATGAAATCTTTCTAGAAGGTTCTCTAACACGACCGCCGTTTATCCTGTTTATGTTATAGAGCATTTGTTCTCAGGTTATGCGTCATTTACACGCAAACGGGTGTAACGGTCTCTCATGAGATCATCAAGTAGTGCGCGTTGTGAATCTATACTATAACTATCTAAAACTGTAATGACTCATCGATGTTGACGTGAACATTACTTAACAATATAACCCTTCACTTGAGCCCAGATGAGCTCTATTGGGTTCAGTTCACAGTGGTAGGGCGGTAACCGCAGTACAGTGACACCACATTGACGGGCCATCTCATCAGTCACGTAACTAATGTTCGCAGGTTTGTGCTGTTTAATTTTTTCATACAATTCCGCTTTCACACATGAATCGTCAAACGGGATGCCTTTTTCGCGCAACCATTGCTGCATGTCACTTTTACGAGATCCCATAGTCGGTACACGTTCGGCTCGACGACTATGGTAGGAAGCATTATCCATGACGATTAAGTATAACCAAAACAGTAACCACAACAATAACAATCACACAACAATTCTATAAAAACACACAATATGCGATCGCTCAACGAAACACGTTCCAATGCGTTGCCGACGCGTATGAGTCTGCCGGCCGAGGCGCGTCTTTGATTTCATTGGTTCCACCGGCGGAGAACAATCAGCCATTATTTCCATCTCTGTCTGTGCTGTTGACCAGCGCAAAGCCACAGAAACGACATATGTCGTACGCTATACGGCTGTACTGGAAGGAAGCCGGGATCGAGCTCTGATCACGTGTTGATCACGCGTATGAGTCATTACAGTTTAAATAGTTGTAGTATAGTTACGGTGTTGCTTGTACGGTCAATGTCGTTCCATCACCAAGTATACCAATAGGCGCTTCTTGTTAGGATCGATGGTAGAAGAGCGGATAAACGCGACGGTGTTGCCAGATTACATTCCCATACTTTTGACAAGTACTGTATTGTAACAGAAAACAATATCCTGCGGTGCGACAAAGAAGAGACAAAGGAAACGGTAGTTAATTGTTCATTGTTTTGTGTTCCGTAGTTCGGTATAATTTATGCATGTGTGAGTGATGTGCAATTCAAGGTCATTATACACAAGCAACGACGTCTATTTTAGTCATCCTTACGTTGATAGACTACCTAAGAATGGATGATTCGTGTTTTTGGGTTTTTTTGTTATT